TCCTGGGCTGGGAGTCCTTTCTGCAGCCAGCGCTTCTCCTGCCCCGTGGTAGGCAGCTGCGGGCAGGAGCGGCTGGATTCCTGCCGCCTCTTGATTGATAGCGGTGATCCCGTGACACAAAGCCTTTCTGGGGGTGGTTTTTGCTTTTTTTTCACTTTAGAGGTAGCCAAAGGCCAGCAGCCGGCCTCGGTATTCGTGTGGTTCTGCCTCCAAGGGTACAGCTGCGAGCTTCTTCCAGACCTCCCACCCGTGTCTGTCCGGGCGTGGAGCCTGGATGGTGGTCAGTGCTTGGGCTTCTTCCTGAGTGCAGGGAGATGATTGCAGAGGGTTCTTTCTGTCCAGGGAATTTTCTCAGGAATCAGATATACCCTCAAGTATGCAATTAACGGGTTTTGTTACATGGTGTCTTTGATGTTAAAGGACATATATTTTCTGCCTACAAATACAGGGGTTTCTTGGGTTTTGGGGTTTTTTTTATTTGTTTGTTTGTTGTTTTTTTTCTTTAGTATTTATGATCTCGCATTCAAACCGGATGGGACTCAGTTGATAATTGCTGCTGGAAATAGACTGCTGGTAGGGAAACTTTCTTTTCCTCTTGCATTTACAGCTGTATGAATATGATGTCTTTCACACTAACTCATGAATATAACCTATCACAAATCCTCTTATCTCTACTAGTCCAGCCTCATATCTACATACATATTAATGCAGGCTAACTGTAAAGTGTTCTGAAGCTTTTCAGTGTTTTTTACCAAGTTTTAAGCTCTGTTTCCCAAAGTAATGAGATTTAAGTTACTTGCGTCATCTCATCCTCTAGCACCTCACCCGGTGGTTTGAAATCCTTTAACCTGCATCCAAACTTAGCACAGTGGCATGGTATACAGATACTGCATTGTTACAAGTTTCGTGCAAATCTTTGTGAAAAGGGGAAAGAAACTCAAACTGATGTCCCTGCTTTGTGAGAAACTTCAACTAGAGCCTTTTGCAGTTCCCTGGGTCTGCTTGCCTGCTGCTAACCCATCAGCAAGAGCAGCTCAGGACCACACTTCTCACGGTTCCTGCAGAGCTTTCAGATGGGGCCAGTGTAGAAACTGCAGGGATGGATGGATGGCATGATTATAGAGATAGAGTTCAGAACTGCTGCAGGACAGCAGGCTTTAGTACTTTCAGTGCTTGCATAATGGTATATTTAGTGATGGTCTTTTCCAGTAATTTATTATGTTTAGACATCTTATGTGGGGAAAGAAGTAAAACAAGCTGGCCAAATCAGGTGTTTGGAAATTTCTTTTGTGCACGTAATATTCTAATACCGAGTCTTCTTTCATTCTGAGAAGTATCACGTTACGGAAAGCTGCTTCTACATTTTAAAACGTTGTGTCTTGCATGGACTGTATGTTATGCAAGAAAGCAAACACAAAAGAAACTGTGTAGTCTTGTTGGCCTTCAGTAATTTTACATCCTGGTCCTCACTGGAAGATTTTTTTAATGTATGGTTTTTGTTTGTATGTTTGTGTTTTGTTCCCACCCACCCCCTCCCCCCATTTAAATAGGTATATGATACTTCTGATGGAACCTTAATTCAGCCTTTGAAAGGACATAAGGACACTGTATACTGTGTGGCTTATGCTAAAGATGGTAAATATCACTTTGGGGGGCTTTGTTAGTCTGGTTTGTAAAGTGCACATCTTCCATTTCTTATTGCCAATTGATAAATAGAGAAATCGGGGTTGTTTCAGTAACAGTATCCTGAACACGTGTGTGAGTGCTGGTGTTTTGTTTGTTTTTTAATGGAGAATTTGAACTGCTGTACAAATGCTACATGCAGAAGTACTGTATTTTTACATGTAAGGCTACCTGTTAATGCAAGAACTGTAGTCCCTGCTTCCTCTTCCCTTTTACTTCAGTGACGGTTAAGTTTATATTTGTGGGGTAATGTGAGGAGAAGGCTTACCCCAGAGATCCCTCTTTCTAGTATACCACCTGCCTCTGATTTTTATTCCCAGAATTCCTCTATCCTGAAGCTTTCTGATCTTCTGATCCTTCACACATTACCATGCTCACTAGAGACCTTACTCTGCTTTCAATTCTTTCATTGCCTCAGATTCTCATTCTGTGGGGACTTACTGTCTGTGGGCTCAGAGGACTTCCTCTCAAATATTACTGTGTTAAGTTACAGGTGATACCTGTGAAAATGTACCATTTTTGCCTTGGCACTGTTAACATAAATCTCCAACCTGTTACTGACAGTGTTGGAAAGACTGTCTACTTGCTTGTGTTGCTGGGCTTTAATGAGGTGCGCTCTATGGGAATAAGAAAATAAAGTCATCGGAGTTTCACATAGTTGGAGAGACGCAGTCATGTGAAGACACTTGCAGTGTTAGGCCCTTTATTACTTGAGGTTTGTCAAGTTCAAGAACTTCTTGCTCTCTCTTTGATTATTTGGAGTGAAAGTGATTCTTGTATGTGTGGGATTTAAATTATATCTAATTCCTAGGCAAACGTTTCGCATCTGGCTCTGCTGATAAAAGTGTGATAATTTGGACTTCAAAGTTAGAAGGAATTCTGAAATACACGTAAGTGATGCCTTTCAATTCTGTGTCTCTCAAAAGTGGACTTTGATTATGCACTTCTGCTGTCAACGAGTACATGCTGTTAGATTTGGAAGAAGGTTGACTAAGGTCAGAGAAAATGCCGGGGGGAAGAGGAGGGGGAAGAGGAAGAGAACAGTCAAAGTATCTGAATGAGGCAGGAAAGCAATTAAAGGCATAAAATAGGGTGGGAAGTCTAGATAAGTCTCTGAATTTAGAGGGCTGGCAGGGAACTGGAGAAACTGTATAGATCAAAATAAAATGAAACTGAATATGACTCTGATCTTGTATAATAAACAAAATTAATATAATTCTTGTTCAAAGACCAAATTGAAGATAAGCTTTGGTACTTTCGGTATATTTCCATCTTTCTTCTGGCTTTCTTTTTATGTCATCCCTCTTAAGTGACATCTTCAAATTCTGTTTCTGAATGTGTGTGTACATTTATTGCTAGTTAGTATACACAAGCTAGTGTACTACTTGGAGCATACACAAGCATACTTGTTTTAGAATTCGGGTATAACCTTTAATTATATTTCACAAACCACCATCAACGTACATTTTTAGCTAATCTGGATGAAATACAGTGAATCCTGCCACTTGGAGACAATTTTTTAAAGGTTTATTACTGATGTAGTTTACAGTAATTGCAGATTTATTTGATATAATGTAAACTGATCGAATTATTTCTGGCATCTGGTAAAACTTTCAGCTTATCTTGCTGAAAGTCAGAAAAGGGGGCATTTAAGAATGATTTATTGAAATATGATTGTAACTTCATTCTAGGCATAATGACTCTATACAGTGCGTTTCATACAATCCTCTTACTCATCAGTTGGCATCCTGCTCTTCCAGTGATTTTGGTATGTCATCTTCTTCTAACTTCTCCATTAAGCCAGTAAATTCTGTTAAGTTGTATAGCTAAGCTAACTACAGATAGGTTCAGCTCTTTATATCCAGAAGAGATGAGATATAAAGCTACCTAAAGTTAAGTAACATCAGATACGTATTTAAATCACTTAAACTCAATTGGAAAGGACTATGTAGTGAGGTGCCACAGGGTAAAATGTACTACTTTGTTACCATGATTTTTTGCGGAGACATCCTCTGTGTTATTTAGATGGATTTTTTTTCCCATTTACTGATAAATAATATGCATTTAAATGTCCTTCTAGCAATGGATGAGACCTTGATCCCTCTGAAATCCCAGCTGAGTTTTCTGACAATATTAGTTTCTAATCTGAACACTGGTAGATGCTTACTTGTTATTTACTTTGGCTTTTTGTTTGCTTTAATCAAGGCTTGTGGTCTCCTGAACAGAAGTCAGTCTCTAAACATAAAACTAGCAGTAAGATTACTTGCTGTAGGTAAGTTTTCAGGATTGCCTATGTCACTTAAGTTAGTTTTAATACAAACCATTCAAAATAACGTGCAAGCTTAAAGAAAAAAAAGTGCAAGTGAAGTAGTTCAACATATGCAGAGACAGTACGTAGTAGTATGAGATAGGCTCTCCTTGCTGTTCCGTAGCATTGTGTCCTTTGTGCTGCCTCGCTGTTCTCATCATTAAAATACCTGAGTACTGTTTATAATGCTCCAGTAGGAATATGACTAATATTTATCCAAGATGATTTGTTCATTCTTGTGCAGTCTTCTTGGCAAGACGCACACCACCCCCCACCACCCCCTTTTTAGTAGCAAAGTGTTTTGGTTTTTATTTGGTACTGTTTATAACTGAATTCTTCTGAAAGTATCAGAGAGGTGTTCCAATCTTGAGCAAGTGTCTTAACTTTTCTCTCCCTCTGTTTAGCCATCTTGTGCAATAACAATAAAATGAGGAAAAATAATTATACTTTTTGTTTGTAGAGCTGTTCATCTCCTCTGTTGTTGGTATTTTCAGTAGGAGGAGATATGACCATTATGGGGAACCTGAGGCAAGGGTACATTAATTTGTGTAAAGTCATCCATCTAACTACAGTAGAGGCGAGAATAGAAACGAGGTCTCCTGTCCCACACCATGCAGTTTTATCTGATCAGAGTTCTAAATGTGGCTTTTAAAACAGTCTGGTCTACTGCCAACACTGTCATCCCCAAAAATGTATCTGTTACTTAGCA